AATTTTTAGTTCCTCGACACTTGTTGTCTTTGAGTTATAAACTAACGATTTAATTCACCCCACAAAAAACAGTCGAGTGGCGTCAAATCAGCTGATCTAGGAGGTCAATGGACACGTGCGTAGGTATTTGATGTGTACCGGCTGTCGCTATTTGTGTTGCGTGCGTAGGATGACTGTAATTTACTTACTTCTACCTAAATTTGAGAAAAAAAAATGACCTACATAAAAAACTATAAAAATCGATCCAGATACCGATTCTGAACAAACAACCTTCAGGGTGTGCGTTAATTATGTTACACGTTGTATAAAGTTGGAGTAAAATTTTACTCCGTCTCGCTGCACAGAGTGCAGCGCGTCATGGCGGTGAGGGTGGTACGAGCATACCGCACTGTCTCTCATGAGGCGGCTTGCGTGCTGGCTGGGACGCCTCCCTGGGAACTGGATGCCCAGGTTCTGGCGGAGGTTTACCACCAGCGCGCGCGAGATCGATCCCGGGGAACGAGTCCGGACCGGGATCGGGTGGATAGTTGGCGACGATCTGCGCGGTCGTCCTTGTTCCATCGGTGGAGGCAAAGGCTCTCTGAGCCAGTGGCCGGGTTGCGAACCGTGGAGGCTATTCGCCCGCTCCTCATGGAGTGGGTGGACCGCCGACACGGATCCTTGACCTTCCGGCTGGTGCAGATCCTCTCGGGGCACGGTTGCTTCGGGAGGTATTTGTGCCACATAGTCGGGAGAGAGCCGACAGCGACGTGTCACCACTGCAGTCGCGTGGAAGACACCGCTGACCACACCTTGATGGAATGTCCAGCGTGGATATCCGAGCGTAGCCAACTCATCCGCGTGGTTGGCGCAGACCTTTCGTTGCCGGCAGTGGTCCAGGCCATGGTCGGCAGCGAGAGGGCATGGCAGGCGGTGGCCGACTTCAGCGAGAGAGTCATCTTGCAGGAGGAGGCTGCTGAACGAGTGAGGGAAGACGACCCCTCCTCGGCGCCGCTGCGCCGACGAAGGCTGGGTCGAAGGCAGCGGGCTTATGCTCGCGACCTGCCTCCCCAGTGAGAAAGCCTCCGGGCGTCGGTGGGGAACCGGCGTCCGGGTAACATAGGCTAGAGGAAGAGCGGCGTGTTTGGCGTTCCCGGCACGCTGCTCTTGAGTCGGAGGGGTGGTGTGGTCAGCCACTGATACCCCTGCCGATGGCGGAGTCCCTTTCGGGACTCGTGCGTAGTGAGCGGAAATATGGCTTGCCGTTCCCGCTCACTAGTCTACGCACAGCGCATAGAACGTCGAGGTGGTTTAGTGGGTGGAAATCCCACATGCCCCTGTCGCGTTTCCCCCGCGGCAGGAAGTCTTTAAAAGATTCCCCTCGTAGAAAAAAAAAAAAAAAAAAAAAAAAAAAATTTTACTCCGTCTTCACTCGTCTTATTTGTAAAACCATGAGGAAAAATTCTTGGCCAAGAAAGAGAAAATCTATAAAAAATATATACACAAATAAGATATCATCTTAAAAAATTTTAACTAACAAACTATAATCTATACTAATATTATAAAGCTGAAGAGTTTGTTTGTTTGTTTGTTTGTTTGAAAGCGCTAATCTCCGAAACTACTGGTTCGAATTGAATAATTCTTTTTGCGTTGTATAGTCCAGTTATCGAGGAAGGTTGTGGGCTATATAACATCACGCTACAACCAATAGGAACAAAGATATAGTGGTAATTGTGTAAAAAACGGGAGAAATTACTTCATCTTTGACGCCTTCTGTTGCGTGCGCCGTGAAAACGGTTCAAGATACACAAAAAATATGTATTAGAGAATAATAGCTCTTTTAATGATCTAAAAAACAGTCCGCGACAGTATATGTCTATCTTTTAAGATTAACTCACAAAAACCGTTTTTATGGTACCTAATTTGGTCGAAATAATTTGTTTAAGTTGTGTCAACATAATAATATTAATCTTTATTCAAATAAACAAATAAATATGTTGTTGGTTAAGATTACTTCATTGTGAATAAAAAAAAACATAGTTTTATCCTGAAAATTCTACGGGAACTCGACCAATCCGAAAACCCCGCAAGAACGGGAACTATGTGGGAAGAACCAAAAATCTGCCGGAAGTCACTATTCCATGCGGATGAAGTCGCGGCAAAAGCTAGTTATTATTATATATGAAAAGTTAATATTAAATCGAACGGAGAGGATCGCGTGACTATTGGTACATATTTTCCAAGTTGTTTGGTCAGAAAAGCGTTAGTGCAATAATTTGTTTCGGTGAAATAAATACAAACTACCAATTTCAATTTCATAGCAACCAATAAATAAGTATTGTAACACCAGAATCAATTCATCACCTGTAGAAATCTAATCCCAACTCCGAAGCTATTTCCACGTCTTTCATCCATTGGTTGTAGCTGTCACAGGCGACGTCCCCGTTGGAGCCATCGACTATAATCTCTGGTCTAGTGTGAACGAACGTGTTCCAGATACTTGGAGACTTGTCTGTCAATCAAATGATTATTAGTGTTATTTAAATTCAATATTAAAAACACGAACATAAACGTTCCAGGAGCCCTCGACCTGGTAAGCAGCTGTGGCTGCACCGAATTTAAACCCGGCTGGAAATCTTCTACAGAATCCAACTCCTAACAGTGCGCTGTAAATGTATATACATATTATTACTCCTCATGTCATTGATGACATTCTTCTGTACTAAGTAACTAAACTATTTGTCATCACTCATCAATAATTCTCATGATTACAATAGTCATGACGTTAAACTGGCAAGTAATTGTGAATCTTATGGGCTTAGTATAAAAACGAATATAGATATCAGATTAAAATAAAGTAATATTTCAAAAGGATGCATTTATAGTGTCATCGCTTTCAACCCGTCTGCAAGAGATCACGGTTGCTGTAAAGTTATCAAAACGTCCGGAAAAAGTAAAATGAATTAACATAAAAGGCATCTTTCCAAAACAGAGTTTAATTTTAAATAAATTCACGTGAAAATCTTAAATATTATTAGATACAATGATCTTAGAGTTCCCTTTATTACACTATATCAGACTTTATAGCTGTTTCTGTTTTTTTACAACAAATCACATCACACAAATTCTTCGAGTATTCAGTAACTAATTCGCATACATTATAAACATTTTATATCCACTTTGTTTTCCATTCTACCATAGAAAGTATCAGTATCAGTTAAATATACTTATCAAAGATATCTTTTATTTTTTCCAAAGTTGAACCGTGGACAAGGGGGACAACAAAAAAAAATTGTGCTTATCCTTCTTCTTAACTAAAACCCCATAAATCAAAATATTTGTAGATTTTTACATACAGGAATTTCATATTAAGTTTAATCAGAAGAACCTACAGATATTACTCATGTATTTTACTAATTTCGGTTATATGAAGAAGAGCGCGAGATTTCTACAATATTGAGACTTAGTTACTTCCTAACTCACATACATGGACTGTGTACATGACCTGCATCACATGTTATGTGTAAGAATTATTGATGAGGACAAACAGACATTACTTCATTAAATCAAATCAAGTCCACATATTTATAATATATTTATAAAATTTCTTTAGTATACACTGTACAGGCAATTAGAACGAGACTGATTATATGTACATCAATAAATATTGATTACTAGCTTTTGCCGCGACTTCGTCCGCGTGGAATAGTGACTTCCGGCAGATTTTTGGTTCTTCCCACATATGTAGTTCCCGTTCTTGCGGGGTTTTCGGAATGGTCGAGTTCCCGTAGAATTTTCAGGATAAAACCTATGTTGTTTTTTGTACTCTTGTTGTAGTACTCTTAACCAACAACATATTTATTTGTTTATTTGAATAAAGATTAATATTATTATGTTGATACAACTTAAACAAATTATTTCGACCAAATTAGGTACCATAAAAACGGTTTTTATGAGTTAATCTTAAAACATAGACATATACTGTCTCGAAGTGTTTTTTAGATAATTAAAAGAGCTATTATTCTCCAACACATATTTTTTGTGTATCTTGAACCGTTTTCACGGCGCACGCAACGGAAGTCTTCAAAGATGAAATAATTTCTCCCGTTTTTTACACATTTACCACTATATCTTTGCTCCTATTGGTTGTAGCATGATGTTATATAGCCCACAGCCTTCCTCGATAACTGGACTATCCAACACAAAAAGAATTATTCAATTCGAACCAGCAGTTTCGGAGATTAGCGCTTTCAAACAAACAAACAAACAGACAAACTCTTCAGCTTTATAATATTAGTATAGATAAGAAAACTGTCGATTATCAAAATAATATATGAAGTATTGTGACCAATTAATTAGAAAAAGTATATTTTGAATGTATTTTTTTATATCTTAAAAATGCTCATCGTAATTAAACAAATTATATGAATTTACTCACCTTAGAAGAAGTGTCGTTAACAACTTCATTTTGCACAGTGAATAGTTTGTGATGTGGGAACGTATTTATTACTAACGAAGAACATGAAATAAGGCTGACTGCTGATTAATATTAATAAGCTTTAATATGAACTTCATTGTTATTAATAAAACATATTTTCAGTAGTATACCATATTGTAAGTTGGGTGTATGGTAAAGTGAATTTAGGTCAGATGGACCGTTGACGTGAATAAGGTGGCGGGTAGTGGCTAGATGTGGAAGGCAGAGGACTGGGTGTGGTGGCGAGTCTTGGGAATGGCAAATGTTTACCAGTGGATCATGCTGTTGATGAAGATGATTATGATCGATTTCAAAGTGCATCTAAACTTGGCATTAGATTGGATTTCAACCCTTTTTTAGGCAAACAATTAGCCGATTGGAACTTGGCCCCCTTTTTAACAGGCATGTTTTTGGTGAGATAAATCATGTTACGTAATAATTTTCACATAAAATAAACTCATTTAAATGAAACTAATATTTTTAGGATATACTACATATTCCTGACGTTTCGGCTACTTTTCAGCAACCAAAAGCAAAGGATGCGATGGCTTCTGGTGACCTTGAACGTGCCAAATCTCTACAGGAACAGTTGAAGAAAGCTGTTGAAGCTTTTACAGCTGAAGGTAATAAAGATTTTGAAAGAGTTGATAGAAAAGTTTGAATAAATGAATAAATTATCTATTTATTCTTCCTAATAGAATTAATTATTGATTTTTATTATAATGTAAACTTTTTAGGACCCTGGGTCCCCGCTTTAAAAGCTGGGATGGAAATTGTAACGGGAATAAGGTTCGGTCCCCCGGCATTACCTCAAAGACCAATTTCTGAAGCGGCAAGAAAAAGAATTGAAGAAAAACTTAGGATTTTGAAACTTATAAATTGAAAACTTTTTTGTTTAACGATATAAAATATATAAATGTTTGGATTGTGAATGTAAAAATTTGAAGTATAATGTATATTTTACCACCAAAATATAATCAATTAAAGTTAAACGTTTTTTAGTAAATTTTTGATTTATGATCTATACTAATATTATAAAGCTGAAGAGTTTGTTTGTTTGTTTGTTTGTTTGTTTGTTTGTTTGTTTGTTTGTTTGTTTGAAAGCGCTAATCTCCGAAACTACTGGTTCGAATTGAATAATTCTTTTTGTGTTGGATAGTCCAGTTATCGAGGAAGGCTGTGGGCTATATAACATGACGCTACGACCAATAGGAGCAAAGATATAGTGGTAAATGTGTAAAAAACGGGAGAAATTATTTCATCTTTGAAGCCTTCCGTTGCGTGCGCCGTGAAAACGGTTCAAAATACACAAAAAATATGTTTTAAAGAATAATAGCTCTTTTAATGATCTAAAAAACAGTCCGCGACAGTATATGTCTATCTTTTAAGATTAACTCACAAAAACCGTTTTGGTCGAAATAATTTTATAAAATCTTTATTCAAATAAACAAATAAATATGTTGTTGGTTAAGAGTACTTCATTGTGAATTAAAAAAAACATAGGTTTTATCCTGAAAATTCTACGGGAACTCGACCATTCCGAAAACCCCGCAAGAACGGAAACTATGTGGGAAGAACAAAAAAAACCAAGTCTCTACTCCACGCGGACGGAGTCGCGGCAAAAGCTAGTAAGTAATAAAATTTAAAATGTAGTTTCATGACGGATTGTCGTTAAAGACACTCTTTCAAGTTTCATCACTAGGTTTTAGACAACTTATAAATTATGTTGTATATAATCTTTTCTTCACCTAAAAGATTCTATTAAATTAAATAATACAAAAAACTTGTGACCTGATTTAAGTAGTGTTCATTTCGAGCTTACAAACACTTCTTCGGCTAGTTTTTTTTCACATCGTCCTAACGACCGACGATGCTACGAGTAGCAGCCTCAAACATCAAAGGAACGCTTTATATCATCAAAAGAGTCCAATTTCATCTGGTAGTTTTTAACCACGTCAATATTTCACTTGCCTTCAATCACTCACGTCAGCAAGACTAGTCTTTAGTTACATTTGACTAAAAGACTTTTTTCCAATACAAGTTATTCCAAAAACAGCCAACCAATGATTCCAGAATTGACTCCAAGCTCGTTTAGATCGATCCCACCTTAACATCATATTCAAAGAGAATTAGTTTAGACTAATAATTTACCAATTATCATTAGTGATCGGTTGGGGTAATTTTTAATAGCCTATATAACAATACCGACGTAACCAAAATGCCGTAGCTCTTATTGCTTCACTGAGTTACTGACAGTTTATGTAGTATCTTAACGAAGTTTTCCATTACAAATATGTATATATATATGTATAAACCCCATAAAAAGCCAGCTTGTTTAATTGTTAACATAAATTAAAAGTATCAATACTTAACAAGAGGAGGGTGTATATAACCTTGATTCTAACTCGCTTACCAATTGGACAAAGGAAAAAGACACTTAGTGCAAGGGTTGAAGAATATACATATCTTAGATATTAAAAATAAGCGTGCGGTGAAGTCATATGTGGACAAACCATCCGCTATGACAAGCCAAGAATCCTCGTTCACGAAGACGACATTAAAATGTAAGTATATTGAAATTAACAAACATTCAAACAATGGATTTCATTGCTAGCAATATAAAAATATTTGTATGGGCTACAAGCCTAATCCGATTTAATTCCTTTACATTATCAATTTTTTATACAAATATTATACCATGATTAAGTCTCAGAATAAATTTGTAACAATCCGACACACTCATACAAATATAAGTAAAACATTAATAGCCTTCTAACATAAGAAACGCGCTTTAAACGAAATACTCTTTAAGGACAATAATATGAAAAGCCAAAAGAGGAGTCGATGGATGTGTTCAGGGTTCTGAGCTGATGCTGTTCGCCAGGACATGGCAGGCGTGAGGCAGCAGAGCAACTCAGCGTGAGTGAGACGGTCTGCTAGGAGACCGTAGTCGGACGTCAGTATTACCTGAGTATATTGCTAAACTCCCGAGGAGTTTCATCTGAGCGAGTGCACCCATTCAGACCAGATTGGGGCCTCTGGCTTCCCCTGAACAACTAGACCCCCGGCTGGCACGACATTATTATATTATATATATTTTAGAAATGAAAACGCTTCGATAGCGTGATTCAGAACATATTGGAACGAGTGTTATTTGAATTTTTGTTTTTTTTTATAATTAAGTTAAGATTAAGAAATGATACAAATAATATATATGTATAATTAATATATATATTATAATTGTTTTAAATTTCTAAAATTCAAATGTATAATAATTGAGGTGAAAGATTTTAAATGTACCCACAACATTTTATGGATAGATTGCTTTTTTTGTATTATTAAATCAATGGTGGCCTAGTGGTTAAAGGCCCGCCTCTAGTGCACGAGGGCGCGGGTTCGATCCTGAGACTTTCGAGAATTTTATCCATTTAAATGAAAGTAATATTTTTTGGATATACTACGCGTGCTTTACTTTTGTAAAAAAATACGTATTCCCGACGTTTCGGATACTTTTCAGCAATCGTGGTCACGGGCAGACGAGATGAGTTGCCAGCAATTATCGATATGTGAGATACAAAACATAAAATGCCATGTCCGTGACCCCGCTGACCTTGTGTATGCTTAACCTTAGATTACGCTAAATGCATTCTGCGTACATGTACTCTGCAGGAAGAAATAAAGAATTATAAGCATTTTGTACACCTTTTTATATTTTACACATTTAAGACACAAGATAACATTTAATGTGCTGCTGCAAGTGCAATTAAAAAATAAATGTATAAAGTATAACAAATTTTACCCATACACATACAAATCTCTTTATATAGCCCACATAAAATATAATTGGTAATCATTTAAGTTCTCAACTATGACAGTTCCAAATAAAACAAAACCACAGTTTGTAAGAAAGTTTAATAATTATAGAAGTATGGAAAATATCTCATGCAATGTGTCAACAAAGTAAAACATTAATTTTAGATAAGTACTAACAAGTAACATATGACACTATGCTAGGTAATGAGTCTAGGATTTAACTATTATTTTTCAATATAAATACATTACACTGATGTCAGCCAGCCTTAGAGCATTAGCTGCCCTTGAATAGCAAGAAGGCCACCTTGCCCAGGTAGAAGTAGATGAAGTGGCTCGTCTCGTGCGTTACATTATACCCGAAGTTCCGGCCGACCATACAGTGCCATGTCGGGTTGTACTTCTTATCAAACTCCTTCTTGATGAATCCTGCTATATCCTTCTCAATATCGAATTTTTCAAGAGCCTGCTTTGCACAGTCAACAGCTTCCTGCTGCATGTCTTCCCTCATGTCAGCATTCTTGATCACCACCCGGCGGTCACACATCTTGTCAGTTTGGTTGATTGATGTCGGACTATGAACAATTTGTCACGTAATGATTTAGATACCGGAGATTCTTTGCCTACTGTCTAGAGGATTCTTTCAAAGGCTTCTTTCAATGCATAGGATATATATACATATATGTTTCTTCTGATTATATTCTGTCATCTATGTATATCCTTGCTTTATTTATTGACGTTGACAAAAAAAAGTAAACAATGTATTTTATTTTTTATTTCTTTTAATATATCTTCTTCTTCTATATACAGGGTAACTGGTGAATTACTATCAATATTTAAGGAGAATACTCGGTACATGATTCTCATTCGAATTATGTAAAAAAAATAATTACTTAATTTTTGGCCAAATTTCCGTATAAATAAATAACGTGAAGACACGCTCCAAGCGTTCCAAGTGTGGACGCGTGCGGCGGCGTGCTGATACAACACCACGCCGCCGCGCGCGAATGGGTGTGTGTGTGTGTATACCTAATATGTAGGGTGTTCACACGATGCGTAATTAATTACATAACTTTTGGTTAACTTTACTTAGAAGTTTATTAATATTTATGTTATATTAATTTTTATTTTGTCATATATGATCGTCAAATTTCACGTCCTCAAGTATCGACAGTAATTCACCAGTCACCCTTTATATAAAAATGGATTGCTGTTCCTTAGTCTCGCTAAAACTCGAGAACGGCTGAACCGATTTGGCTAATTTTAGTCTTGAAATAGTCCAGAGAAGGTTTAAAAGGTAAGAAAAATTGGAATAATTGCCGGGAAAACCCTAAAAACAGCCCTTTTCTATTTCCCATACAAACGATATTTTGACATTAGACTTGACAACTAACTAATATGTCAATCATTCTGTTCGATTGAAACAGTAGAAATTTAATAAATACCAATACCGGGTTATTGAAGACGGAATAGAGTTTGCCCGGTCAGCTACACCTATGTTACTAATGACGAAATTAACGCGGACGAAGTCGCGGGCAAAAACTAGTTTTTAATAATTATGATGTAAATTTTTTATAATTTTACAAATAATGCGCATGGATTTTGAAAATGATTTATCCCTCATTGTTCCGTGTTTCTGGTATCTTAAAGAAAGGGTACACGTGCTTCTGTTATCTCTTTAATATTTATGTATATGTAGTATTAGTTGTAGGTAAAGTGTAACTCTCAGTTCATGTAACATATTTGTAACAATTTATACAATAGTTGCTAAAACAAAATCATGAGCAACGAAGATTCTTTGGCCATAGAAATCCATAGGAATTTGTATCTTGTTGCCCATTCTGGACATTACAAACGGTTCTTTTAAACCGATATTCATTATCCTATTCTAATAAACTTCTGAATGAAATAATTATTTTTTATTTCCTTCCAACATATGTACGTAGTATAAAATGTAATTAAATATTTATCAGTTTTAATTCAGTATAGGTATATTGAACTTCATTATGTGCAGTCGTGGATTCATTTTGTTTCCAGATTGCCGCGAGACTGTTGCTGTATTTTTTATTATCA